AGGACAACGACATGAACGACGAGGACGACGGGGACGACGACCCCCTCGCGTCGTGAATCCGCGGCGAAACCCGGGGGAAAGCGAGGGTTTCTGAGAAGCCCCGCGGCCTTCTGGGAAGGCATCCCCGCCTCGCCCTCGCCCTCGCCCTCGCCCTCGCCCTCGCCTTCGCCTTCGCCCGCCACCCCCCCCAACCCCCCGCTCCGTCGTCGCCGCCGCCGCCGCCCCCAGACGTCCCATGCGTGGACTTGCCCTAAACATCCTGTATTGGGTCCTCGCTTTGAATATGCATCGCCCCGCGTCCTTCCCTTCACCTCCTCGCTCTCCCCCCTCCTGACCATCCGTGCCCACTTCCTCCGAGTGCCCCACTCGGCACACCCCTCGCACGTTCATTGGCCCCTGCCACAAACGCTCCACCGACGACCGCAGCGGCAGCGCCCGCATGTAAACTCGGGCCCGCCTTGCCGCACCTCTCACACGCTCTGCGGCCCCATGGGGAGCTCCACCGACGGCCCGGGGGGCAGCGCCTGCATGCGGACCCAGGCCCCTTCTGGCAGCCCCCATCGCGCGCCTCTTGGCCCCTTCGAGCACTCCACCGAAGGGCCCCAGCGGCAGCGCCCGCAGTGCAAGCGGGGGCCCACTTTGCCACGCCCCTCACGCCTCTCCGTGGCCCCGTTCGGGGGGCGCGCAAACATGGACTGGCGATCCATGGATCCGGCGCGCGGTCGCCAGATCCATGGATCGGCGGAGGTCCCCTCCCCACAATGCGGCCGGCGCCTCCTCGCTCGGCGTCGGACATCCGCGGTTTCCCATGGAGACGGGACCCGCCGGTAATCCACGCCCCCTTGACCCACGCTTGCGATCGCCTGCCCCCTGGAGGTCCGCCGAAGGCCCAGCGGCAGTGCCCGCGTAGCTGGGCATTGCCTCAACACAATGCCAATCTCGGGGACTCCCTCAGTTATTCGGGGCTTTCGGCGTGTCCATCTGAAGGGATAGGGATACGCTCGAGGCTGGGGACGTCCACGTTGCCACGCCCCTCCCGCGCCTCGTGGCCCCACGGAAGCCCGCCGAAGGCCCCGCGGCGGCGCCCGCGCGCGGACGCGGCCCCGGCTCGGCACGCCCGCCCCGGGCGCGTCGTGGCCCCCCCATGGGGAGCTCCGCCCACGGCCCGAGCGGCAGCGCCCCGCGCGGCGGCCCCGCCCCGCACTGGCGCACTCCTCGCACGCGCCGTGGCCCATTTTGCAGAGCTCCCCCGAAGGCCACAGCGGCAGCGCCCGCATCGCTCGAGTTGTTTCCGCTTTGTGGCGCGCTGCCCGTGTGCATGGAGAAGGCCGTGTCGCACGCCACGCGTCGTTCGATCGCCCCTCTCCTTCGAATCGTCGGCCTTATGGCACTCGCAGTTGCAGATGGTTGGGTCTTTCGTCGGGTTAATTCGATGCGGGGTCTCTGAAATCTCGACCCTCTCCCTGAGGTCGGTCTTCCTTCCCGAGTGGTGTTCTGACGGCCCCAGGGCTCGGCGAGGGCCCCCATAGGGCCGAGAAAGGTCAAAATCTTCTGGCTCCCGCCGCGAATTTCGTCACAACACGGGAAATATATATATATATATATCTATATATATATATATATAGATACACACAAATACATACATATATATATATATATATACACACAGATTCTCGTGCGCACCTCTCCGAGGGAGTAGAGCTCAGAGGCGATGAGTGCGCACGCGCCGCGTCGTTCGCGATTCGTCTGGCCGTTTCGCCAAGGACATCCTCGAAATTCTGAAAACCGGTGGCACCCCTCACGCAGATCGTGACGTCAGGGTCCAAAAACACATGGGAATTTCAACCTTCTAACCTAAACCTCCAAAAGCAATGTAATTTAACTGATTTCGACCCCAATTCTCAGAGAATGGCGGTTTCGCCTGAGACATCCTCCCAAAATTGAGCCCCGACGTACCTTCTGGTACCCCAGACCCCGCCTCGGAGCCTCCTAGGGGCCTCCTGGAACCTCCTGGGGCCTCCTGGGGCTTTCTGTATCTTCTGGTACCCCAGACCCCGCCTCGGAGCCTCCTTAGGGGTCTCCTGGAACCTCCTGGGGCCTCCTGGGGCCTCCTGGGGCCTCCTGGAGCCTCTTGGGTCCTCCTGGAGCCTCCTTGGGTCTCCTGGGGCCTCCTGTGACCGCCTGGGGCCTTCTGGGGCCTCCTAGGGTCTCACAACTACATGCGCACACAGAAACACAAATCACACCCAACACATCACACGCTAAACAAACATAAAAACCCACACAGTTACACGCACACACACACACACACAACACACAACACACAACACACAACACGCAACACGCAACACGCAACACACAACACACAACACACAACACACAACACACAACACACAACACACAACACACAACACACAACACACAACACACAACACACAACACACACACACACACTTACACACGCACACACACACAGTTACACGCACACACACACACACTCACACACACACACACACGCACGCACGCACGCACGCACGCACACACACACACACACACACACACACGCACGCACGCACGCACACACACACACACTCACACACACACACACAACACCTACAACGCACAGAAAACACGCACAACACAGAGCACACATCACACACACACACACACGCAACACTCACAATCCCGGGGCCTCCTGGAACCTCTTCCGGTATCCAAGTCGGGCCCCCTGAGGATTCCTGGGGGGCCCTGGTACACATATCGCAAGGCGTGACAACCCCACTCGCGCTCGAGTGCGACCTCGATCTTAGAATATTCTGCGTTCACCTCCTGCCTCTTCCCCTTCTCTTAGGCACGCCCTGGCGGCGCCGCCCCAGCTTTCCCTTCTCCATCTCCGATCCTGCAGTCATGGTGTCTTCCTGCTCCAAATGCCCTTTCAGTTTTTTGTATGAGCCTGGGCACACACGTGCCACTTGCATATATGGTCCAGGGCTTGTCCCCCCCCCCATTGCTGATGCCATTGGCCCCCCCATCCCCCGCGCGATGGTCCCCCCCGCCCCCCCCTGTGGGCGTGGCGTGGTGCTGCGCTGCGGTTCTCCCCCCCCCCCCCCTGTGGATGTGGTGTGGTGCTGTGGTGGTTCAGAGGTGGGCGTGGCGTGGTGCTGCGCTGCGGTGCCCCCCTCCCCCCCCCCCCTGTGGATGTGGTGGTGTGGTGCTGTGGTGGTTCAGAGGTCGTTGTCGTCGTCGTCGTCGTCGTCGTCGTCGTCGTCGTCGTCGTCGTCGTCGTCCTCGTCCTCGTCGTCGTCCTCGTCGTCCTCGTCGTGGTCGGTCGTCGTCGTCGTCGTCATCGTCGTCGTCGTCATCGTCGTCGTCGCCGCCGCCGCCGTCGTCATCGTCGTCATCGTCGTCGTCGCCGCCGCCGCCGGCGTCGTCGCCGCAGCCGTCGTTGTCGTCGTCGTGTGGTCGTCGTCGTCGTCGCCGCCGTCGTCGTCTCTGGGACCATACCATCTGGGGGGGGGGGGGCCCGAGGAATCCTGGGACCATACCATCTGGGGGGGGGGGGGCCCGTGGGCCCTCGACCCTGGATCATATATGGGGCCGCTGCCTTCGCCGCCGCCACCGCCACTGCAGCGTCATCGTCGTCGTCGTCGGCTTGGGGAGGGCGCGGGGAGAGAGAGAGAGAGAGAGGGCAAGCCAAGCGCGTTCGCGCCACATCTGAGATCCCACCCCTCCCACCCAACCCATTCCATTGCGCTGGTGCCTTCGCTATCCGCTGGTGGGCGTCGTAGCGGACCTAGACCCAACCGCAGGACACCCATCGTGCTTCGCGCAGATGGTGAATGGAAGCTGTGCGCATTGGAGGGAAAGGAAACGGATGAGCAGGAGAATGAGCGGGAGAACGAGCAGGAGGAAAAGGAGCAGGATGAGGAGGGAGTCGAGTCACGTCGGCCCTGGGACGCGGTGAACTATCACTACGGAGCAGTGCGGCGAACGCTTCTGAGAATCAGGAGCGAGGACGACGAGGAGGACGACGACGAGGAGAGGGGGAGGGAAGAAGGGCCGATGAAGAGGGAGGAGGAGGAGGAGGAGGAGGAGGAGGAGGAGGAAGAGAAGGAGGGCTAGGACGAGGGCCGAGGACGAGGACGAGCAGGGCGCGGAAGGGGGCGGGCGACGACCCCGACGCGGTGCCTCGCCGCACGGGCCAGCCGCCTGCGCAGCAGCAGCGCCTCCTCCATGGTGGCCACGGCCGGCGACGGTATGGTCCTCTCGGCCGGGAGGGCCAGGCGGCGCCCGCCGGGGGGGGGGGCAGGCAGGGGACGCACTGGGACCTACTAGTACTGTATGTCCTCCTTGGAGGCGCGCGTCCGACCCGAACATGTAGTGTGCCCATCTTGCAGTATAGATCGCTTCCCGAGCGGTGTGGCCAGACAGCGCCCCCCACGACGCGCATACTAGAAGACTTCTCGGTGCGCGCGTCGCCCCTGGGGGGGCGACGAACACTTAGTATTAGTATGTTGGGGTGACGCCGACGGCAGGCCCCCTCGCGTCGTGCAAGATCGGGACGCTCGGTTGGGAGCCTCCCATGCCATCTTGTCGGCTCCTGCGAATCGACGCGGACTCGACGCTACATCGACGCTAAATCGCACTCACTGACGCTGGCCGACGCTGAATCGGCGCTATCTCATCGGCTCCGGACGCTGATCGACGCTGATCGACGCTACAGACGGAATTGAGCGGGTATACCGTATACCAGGCTCCCATGATTTGCCACCGAGAGGACGGAGGGTTTTCCCGCAGACATGCAGCGTCCTGATGTGTTCCACGCGCCGTCCCCTGGAAGTCCCGACCCGTTGTTGTTCCCCTGGGCTGGTTTGTGTTTCGTCCTTGGTCGTTGTTTTGTGGGACTGCTTTCCACCGTCACCACCATAAGTACGAGGGGCAGGGGGTCCTCCTCCGCCTCCTCCTCCTCCTCCAACTCCAACTCCTCCTCCTCCTCCTCCTCCTCCTCCTCCTCCTCCTCCCCCTCCTCCTCCGCCTCCTCCTCCTCCTCCTCCTCCTCCTCCTCCTCCTCCTCCTCCTCCTCCTCCTCCTCCTCCTCCTTCTCCTCCTCCTCCTCCTCCTTCTCTCCTCCAACTTATGTTGGTGGTGAGGGAAAACAGGCCCATCAATTGTTGGAAGGTCCCTGGGCCCGGTCCGGTCCGGGCCCCCAGAGGCCGGAAGCGGCGCAACACCACCCTTCCGGACTCTCTCACGACGCGAGCATGCCCAGACAAGACACCCTCCGATTCTCGGCGGCGAGCGAGGGGGTGAAGTGAGAAGGAGAAGGCCTCCTCAGAAGGCGGCGGGGCTTGCCAAAAGCCCCCGCGCCTTGTGAGAAGTCTTCCGTGTCTTCGGGGAAGGCTCTCCTCGGAGGCTCAGGGGGCTTCCGAGCCCTCCGAGAAGGCCCGCCCCCTCCTCGCTTGCCCCCCCTCGCCCCCTCGCTCGGCGCCGAGGTGTGGTTCGTCCAGTGCCTGGCCCCCGAGCTCCCGAAGTACTCCCTGGGAGGAGGAGGAGGAGGAGGAGGAGGAGGAGGAGGAGGAGGAGGAGGAGGAGGAGGAGGGGAGGAGGAGGAGGAGGAGGGAGGAGGAGGAGGAGAAGGAAGAGGAGGAGGAGGAGGAGGAGGAGGAGGAGGAGGAGGAGGAGGAGGAGGAGGGGGAGGGGGAGGGGAAGGGGGACGGGGAGGGGAAGGGGGAGGAGGGACGCGCCCGAGTGGTAAGTCTTGGGGGGGTACTCTTGCGCGTCCCAGATCCATCTCCTGCTTGCCCCGGGGCCACCGAGCGGGCCCCGTGACCAGGCCGCAGGTCCAGGAGGACCGCCCGGCTTGAGAGCATCATCTGAAGGGGCCCTGGGGCACACAGATTCTCCCCTATGTTTTCCTTTATGTTTCGGGGTGTTTGTCTTCCCCCCCACTTCCTATATTCTCCCATCTTTTCGCGGGAATCGACGATGAATTGTGTCTGTGTGTTTTTGTTCCCCTGCTGAACATCGTCGGAGGTCTGGGTGACTGGGCTTAGGTCGGGCATGTCCTCCTACAGGTAGACTTTTGGACGAACCATGAAAAAGAGTCTCGAAGCAGTCAACCACAGCCAAGAGAGCACGACTCATCGCCCCCAGGCTCTCTTGTTGGACTGTTCTCGGACATTCCTCCTGTAGAGGGGCATGCCCGACGTAATCAAGACTGGGTCGTTATTTCCGCCTCAGTCGGCTGCACGCAAGAGTGACCCTAGGTAAGAGTGGCATCTGGCGCGCGGCTTCTGCGGGGCCGCTAGGCGCGCAAGACGCTACTATCGCGTCGCGTTCGGCGATCGGGGGACCCTGATGGGCCCGCGCTCCAGACCCCCGACGTAATGATTTGTTCATTACGTCGACCCCCAGAGGTCCCGACCCTTTCCCCCTGACCGGCTTTGCAGCCCGAGTCGTTGTTTGACGCTCCCGAGGCCCAATGAGGGCCCCCGGAGGCCGAAACGTAAGAAAACCTCCCGTCATGATTGTTTCACTACCCGAGGGGGTCTGGGACCACAGGTCAGTCCAGCGAAGGGTCACTCTTACGTCTGGTCGGCTCATGGGGGCCCTCGTCGGGGATCTTCTGACCTCAATCCAGACCCGGGTCAGCAGGAAACCAAAAAACTGCAATGCAAGACAACAAGAACTGCAACGCAGATCTTCGCAAACCCGGGTCAATCAACATGCGCGGCCGCCTCGCGGCCACGAGCGGCTCGCCAACCTGGGTCAGCCAGAAGGGGGTCTTCCCAGGATCCTGCAGGATCCGGTGCCCTGGCTGACCCCCGTTTGCATTGACCTCCGTTTCAAGGCTCTCGACCTCGCCGGGCCCCGGGACTGTCGGCAAAGAGGGCTCTGGGATGCAACAGAGCCGGCCTCCCGGGAAGGGGGCGGCGCCAGCGCGCGGCGCCCCCTCCCAGGGTGAGGGCCCCGACCTGGCTGGATGGGGCCCAGGGACGCACGCGGAGAGATGGACACAACTCCCAGCATGCCCCATCTAGTCTCCCCTCTCCCCTAGCTTCTGGATGTTCGTCTTCCCCCCCACGTCCCGTCTTTTCCCACATACTGCCTTGGGAATCGGCGATGACTTGCGTCTGTGTGTGTGTGTGTGTTTGTTCCTCCTCACTGGTGCGAGCTGGTGGCGCGCCCAGGGCTCCTCCTGACTGGCGCGAGCTGGCGGCGCGCCCAGGGGGTCGGGGTCGGACAAACGGCAGGCGGCGTCGGAGCGGGTTTTTTCCCCCCCCCCGATTCGCGATCGCAGCCGTTATCGGGGATGCTCCCCCCCTCCCACCCCTCCCCACCACCTGGAACCCTCGGCTTGCGCCTGCGCCACTCGGCAATGACCTGGGGGTGGGTGACTACAGGGGATGACATTCTTTGGTTCCCAGACAGCGCCGGCGCGAATCGCGACGCCATCGGCCCCTGCCCCTCCCCCTCTCCTGGCCCCCGCGGTAACGGCCCCAAAGGGCACCTCTCAGTGTACCCACGCATCCGGCGTCCTCGAGAAAGCCGAGACGAAGGCTTCTCATCGTTTGCGGCCTCCGCGGGCCTCCGCCGGGCCTCGGGGCCGTGCAAGACGGCTCGGGGCGAGAAGCGGCTCCTGGGAGAGGAGGAGGAGGAGGAGGAGGAGGAGGAGGAGGAGGAGGAGGAGGAGGACGAGGGAAGGAGGTCGGGGGCATCTTGAAGAGTACCGAGGCGCCACATGCCTCGGGAGGCGGGGTCCGCGATGCAGCCTGCGAAGCTGGCATCCTACGGGGGGGAGGAGCTCGTGCTGTACTCGCGATGGCGCTTCCGGACATGCCCGCGTCGCGTGGGAATCGTGGCGGCCGTATCTCCTCTCTCGGGGCCTTCAGGGGACCTGTCCGGGCCCGGGGACCGTCGAATAGCTACGACGACGAAGCGCCAGTCTCGGGGAGAGCAGGCCAGGATCTCCGGAGACCCCTTCCTGAAAGGTCAGGACACAGCGAGTCTGGACGCGTGACCGGCGCAGACCCCCCTCCTTCTGGTCACCTCACGATTCGCGACGGCGCCGTCAAGAACGGGGCCACTCTTGAGCAGTCCCACCCAGACGGCGCCAGCGCGATTCGTGACGTGTTGAACTGTGACGTGACCGGCCCCCTCCCCCCCTCCCCCGACACCCCTTCCCTGGGTCACGCTCGTCATCGCCGAGAGATGCAACAGTGGTCTCCGACCATCTCCACCCCAATTAGGGAAACTTTGGCCAGGCTGTCCGACCTGATGTATAGGTGCTGTCGCCTTCGGTTTCACGGCGCCCATCCCCCTCTGTCAAGGCATGGGGGGCGGGGCTTCTCAAATGACTTGACGGCGAGACCAGATGGGGAAGGCAGAGGGGAGGGGCTCCTCAGGAGGCTCAGGAGAGGCCCGGCCTTCTGAGAGACTTTCTCAACCCTGCGTTGTATCTTCGGGGGGCCGTCTCTGTCCCATCGGGCCAACTATCAGCGTCGAATCCGCGTCGACTCAGTGTCGAACAGATCCAACCTGCGTCGAGCTTCCGCCGGCTTCCGCCGGCGGAGGCGGCCTCGTTTTACTCCCGCCGCCCTTCCGCCGCCTTCCGCCGGGGAAGGGATGGCAGCTCCTCCCATTCTCGAACCTGGACCACCGATGTCATGATTTTTCCATTACTTCGATCCCCAGAGTTCTCGACCCATTCACCAGGACCGGTTTCTCATCCTGAATCGTTTTTACAATCCAGAGGCCCAGTAAGGGCCCCTGGAGGCCGAACAGTAGGAAAAACCTCCCGTCGTGATTTTTGTCATTTCCCGAGGGGGTCTGGGCTCCGTCCATCCTCGAGGGCAAGGCCCTGTCGGGAACGCCCCAACGTGGGCGTTGAGCTTGCACCTCGCTGCCGCTCGCTCCCCCCCTCCTCCTCCCTCCTCCTCCTCTTCCTCCTCCCCCTCCTCCTCCTCCTCCTCCTCCTCCTCATCGGAACGCCCCACGTCGTGGGCAGGGCGCGCACCTCGCCGCCGCTCGCCATCCCCCCCCCCCCCTGGGGAGAGACGGGTGCGCAGCGCGGTCCTGCCGACCCAGCGGCGGGCGTCCAGCACGACGCTGAAGCCGCGGGCCCGCCCCCGCAGCGAGCGCTTTTGGCGGGCGGCCCCCGCGGGGGGCCCCCCCCAGGGGTCTTCGGCGGCGCGCGCGCGGCGGCGGCCACGACACCGAAGGGGCCAAGGGACACGCACGCCAATACAGAGAATGCCCTCCTCCTCCCCCTCCTCGTGCTCCTCCTCCTCCTCCTCCTCGTCCTCGTCCTCGTCCTCCTCCTCCTCCTCCTCCTCCTCCTCCTCCTCCTCCTCCTACTCCTCCACCTCCCCCTCCCCCTCCCCCTCCCCCTCCCCTCCTCCTCCTCCTCCCTCCTCCTCCTCCTCCTCCTCCTCCTCTCCTCCTCCTCCCCTCCTCCTCCTCCTCCTCCTCCCTCCTCCTCCAGGCCCCCAGATCCCCGACACGTTTTGAGATGGTCTGGGTTTTCGTCTGCCCCTCCCGGTCCCACATTATCCTGAGCACCGACGTGCAGTTGCGTCTGTGTGTTTTCGTCCCCTCCCGAAACACGGGGGGGAAAAGGAACGGGTCCTCAAGGAAGCGGGTCCTGAGGTTTCTCTCCGTTTTCGGGTTCCCGGGACTCAGAAAGCGACTCGGGATGAAATAATCGCCCTGGGGGAAGGTCTGGTTTTCATGCTGAAAGATCGGCGGGGCCTCTCAGAGCCCTCGCGCCTCCTGAGAAGTCTTCTGCCTCCGGAGAAGGCTCAGAAACACCTCTCCGAGGGCCTGAGGGGCCTTTCGCAGAGGCCTCCTAGATGGGGTCGGGGCAGATGGGGTCGGAGGATCGTGCCGCATCGCCGATGCATCGGCGACGTCGGCGTGGAGAAACCAGGTGTCACTTCGAGCCGCATCGCCGATGCATCGGCGATGCGGCGCGATCCTCCGACCCTATCGGCTCGGACCCCATCTGAGACGCCTGGGCTCTTGGACGCTCACGATCTCCGCTCTTATCTCGAATCAGTGGCGACGCGCGAATCGTACCCCCACCATCCGTCGATGATTCTCCTGTCGGGCGTTGGCAGAACTGGGCTTAGTGGAGCCTGGTTTGTTGATGTGTACTGAGGGACGCTGCCCCCGCCCCGTTCCACTAACCGGAACCGCTGTCACCCGAAAAACACACAAACTACGGCAGACCTGGTTTTTGGTGATTCTGGCTCATTTAGGGGCTCCGGGGCCCTACTCCTAACCGGGCCCCCTTCCCTGGGGTCCTGGCTATACCCGATCCTGCATCGATGGGAGGTGGCAAAAGGCTTCGGATGTCACCACGTGCTCGAATCTCGCCACGGAGACGCATTCCCATACCTACCCTCCGCCGCCCACCGACCCCACCTGGGAGGACTAGAGCTTCGGAGCCGGCTGGGGGTCTCAGGTGACCGACTCCTCGGCGGCGCCCCGTCTTCGGCGCCGCGTGCGAGGCGGCACACCAGGGACCCCCCGCGCAGCAGTCGGCCCCATCCTCCTCCTCCTCCTCCTCCTCCTCCTCCTCCCTCCCCCCCTCCTCTCTTCTTCTTCTGCTTATTCTTCTTCTTCTCCTCCTCCTCCTCCTCCTCCTCCTTCTCCTCCTCCTCCTCCTCCTCCTCCTCCTCCTCCTCCTCCTCCTCCTCCTCCTCCTCCTCCTCCTCCTCCTCCTCCTCCTCCTCATCATCATCATCATCATCTTCCTCCTCCTCCTACTCCTCCTCTTCTTCCTCCTCCTCCTCTTCTTCCTCCTCCCCCTCCTACTCTGGTGCACTCTGCTTCTACCTCACGTAACCCCCTTGCTGCTCTGTCCCTTTCTGACCATGGCAGAGAAAGCTACGCTAGGGCTGCAGCTCGACTGCCCAGGCCTGGCGAGCCACAGCAAACACGGACGGCCGGAGCGGTGCACACTTTGAGCGCCGTGTGCTCAATGTTGGGCTCCAATGCATGGAAGGCCTGTGCCAAAATGCTACGGACAGGGCGCGAACACAAAGTTGGGGACACAAACTGGGTCGGCTGGATCCTCGGGTGACGCAGCGACAAAGCAAGGATCCCATGGGGTCCTGCTCCCCCATACCGTGTGGGTGCAGCGACGGTCAAGGAATCCAGGGGGTCCGGCACATCCCCCGAACAAACGAAGTGTCGCGACGCGACGGTGAGCAAAATCCCCCGAATCCGTCGTAACGCTCCGCGCCGCTCCGGAGGAAGAGGATAAAGGAGGAAGAAGAGGAAGAGGAGGGGAAGCGGGGCAAGGCCTGGACTCACGCCTGGCCAATACAGGGGGCCAATATTGCCTCCGCACTCCGCAAAACTATGCGAGGTACGTCGCTGCAGTCATCCCCGTGGCAATCGCGAATGGTGTAAGAAATTCTCTGGAGATCACGGGAGCCCCGACCGCAGTCGATGAGGTCCAGCAGCATCCTGGCAAGATGCGGGGCCGCTTGCTCTTGGGATGATGTGATTTGCCCCCATCTGGGCACGTGAGATAAACCGTCGGAGTGCCTTCCGGGAGGAGCCCCACGGCGGGGGCATGCAGAGCTTTGTCTCGAGAAGATCCCCTTGCAGACGCCCCAAGTCAAGCACAACATCAAGCCATGCCAACATAACTTTACATGCCGTCGGGTCGTATCGAACTGGGTATACCAAACTCAATGATTCAATCAAACACTTGCGGCAAGAAAAAAAAAACGCACAAATCCGCCGACCCTGTCGGCGTGTGTGAGGGGCTTTTCCGTTCGAGCCGTCATCTCCGTCATTCTTTGTACTCGTCGTCTCTGTCCTTCCCTTTCCCTGGGAGACCTCTTCCCCTGGGCTCCAGCCAAGCCGACCTTGAGCAACCTCGTAATTGAGTCGAAGGGAAGCCCCTTCCCTTTGATCCCTCCCCCGCCGGGAGGGGGGGGGGGGTGTCGACCCCCCCCCCGGGTCAGATACGACGCCCCCCCCTGGGACTCCTCTTCCCCTGGGCTCCAGCCAAGCCGACCTTGAGCAACCCCTGGGCTCCAGCCAAGCCGACCTTGAGCAACCTCGTAATTGAGTCGAAGGGAAGCCCCTTCCCTTTGATCCCTCCCCCGCCGGGAGGGGGGGGGGGGGTGTCGACCCCCCCCCCGGGTCAGATACGACGCCCCCCCCTGGGACTCCTCTTCCCCTGGGCTCCAGCCAAGCCGACCTTGAGCAACCTCGTAATTGAGTCGAAGGGAAGCCCCTTCCCTTTGATCCCTCCCCCGCCGGGAGGGGGGGGGGGGGTGTCGACCCCCCCCCCGGGTCAGATACGACGCCCCCCCCTGGGACTCCTCTTCCCCTGGGCTCCAGCCAAGCCGACCTTGAGCAACCTCGTAATTGAGTCGAAGGGAAGCCCCTTCCCTTTGATCCCTCCCCCGCCGGGAGGGGGGGGGGGGGGTGTCGACCCCCCCCCGGCAGATACGACGCCCCCCCCTGGGACTCCTCTTCCCCTGGGCTCCAGCCGCCCGACCTTGAGCAACCTCGTAATTGAGTCGAAGGGAAGCCCCTTCCCTTTGATCCCTCCCCCGCCGGGAGGGGGGGGGGGTGTCGACCCCCCCCCCGGGTCAGATACGACCCCCCCCTGGGACTCCTCTCCCCTGGGCTCCAGCCAAGCCGACCTTGAGCAACCTCGTAATTGAGTCGAAGGGAAGGGGGGGGGGGGGGGGGGTAGCGACCCCCCCCCGGGTCAGATACGACGCCCCCCCCTGGGACTCCTCTTCCCCTGGGCTCCAGCCAAGCCGACCTTGAGCAACCTCGTAATCTCTTGCTGCGCATTGCGAACAGGGTCGGCGGCACCGGCCGTCAGGCCTTCGCAATCAAATCGTCGACGTACCGGCCAATAACAACGACATCGCTCCATGCTCGCAAATCCGGCGCAAAATCTCCAGCGGCACGCCTCCTGTTCAAGGCGTGCGGCTTCGCGTTTCTTTGGAGTGTCAGAAACCGCCAGTGCGCCAATGCCTGACTCAGCTTGCGCTTGGCGTTTGTGCGCCGCGCGAGGAGCAACAGTGGCTACTGAAGCAGTCCCGCCTTGCGGTTGGACGCTCCACCACGCACGAGGATTTCGGAGCACGAGCTGGGCAAGCTGCACGCGTTCATGTTCGTGAGTTGTTGCAGCTCCACCCTGTGCATCGCAAGTGGGCTTTCCAGGAGCTCTTGTCCAAGCTCGTCCCAAAACGTTGGGACATTCCAGTTCGGAGAACTGCTTGGGACATGGCCGCCGAAATCGCGAGCCTCGTCCACGGGTGGTGCTACGAATAGCTCCCTTCGAGACGCCATTACTGCCCGGTGCTGCGGACGGCGCGGTGGGCGAAGTTCGCAAGCATGCGGCGGCAAATTCATCGATGGCGCGTGTCCGACTATGCATACGCACATCATGCGTGCGAAATGTGGCCAGACACCGCTCACGTCATTTTGCCCGATGACAAGTCCAAACATCATTGTTGGACTTCCCCGAGAGGTGTCTGCGGCAAACTTGTTCCACTACGTGGGCAAGTCCCCCCCCCGTAGATGTTGCGACCGCAGAGATGCAGCAGCTGCTTCCCTGTTCCCCAGACGTAGCCAGCCTCCTCCTCCTCTTGGTCCTCCTCCTCCTCCTCCTTGCCTCCTCCTCCTCCTCCTCCTCCTTACCTCCTCCTCCTCCTTGCCTCCTTCTTCTCCCCCTCGCCTCATTCCTCCCTTCCTTCCTTCCCGCCATCCCTCCCCTCCTGCCTTCCGCCTCGACGGCGGGGGGCGTGGCGCGCAGCCCCCGCGCAGACCAGCCCCAGGTCCGCCGCGGCAACTGCCGCATCCAGCAGCAGCCTTCTCCGCGCGGGGGCGGGCGCGCGGCGTCCGCCGTCGCGGCGCCGCCGCCGCCGCGGCCGCGACCGTCGATCGGTCGGTCGGTCGGTCGTCGGCCATCCTCCTCCTCCTCCTCCTCCTCCTCCTCCTCCGCCTCTTCCTCCTCCTCCTCCTCTTCCTCCTCCTCCTCCTCCATGGCTTCGCCCATACCCCCCCCCATCGACCTCCTCCTTCCCCTTCTGCCTCCGCCCCCTCGTCCACCTCCCCCTGCCCTCCCCGTCATGCTCCTCCTCTCTCGCTTCAAGCATCCGCCTCTCTGCTGCGCATCCTCCTCGTCGTGTTCCTCCTCATTGCACCGCTCCCGCTTCTCAACCTGACTCCGCGACCTCCTGCTCCACCCTCCGCATTCCTTATGACCTTCCTGCTCTCTCTCTCTCTCTCTCTCTTTCTCTCTTCTCTCTGTCTGTCTCTCTCTCTATGTCTCTGTCTCTGTGAACAAGAAAACAAGAGGGGGGGGACGAAGGCATATCCGTTCAGAATATGTCCTTGGGCCTCTCCCAAAACTGACATTTTTTCGAGACGCGTCCAACCGTGGAGGCAGAAGGAGCTCCTTTCAATTCCCGTTCTGCTGGCCAGAATCAGTGCTGGGCCACCTCAGCCCCCCAACCGGCTCCGAGTCTTCGCCATCATTGCGATTGCACCGCGAAGCTGGAGGATAAGAATGCCCGAGGCGTACCCAACCCATGATGCACGCGAGGCCACTAACAACAGGAGCGCCTCATGCAACGGAACACGCTCAGAGAGATGCAGCACGCGAACACTTCGCCAACAAAACCCGCGAAAGCGGTAACCGTTTAGCAAGTGGCAGCCCCCAGGGAGCTGCGAGGTCTGGCCTGAGCGTGTGGTGGCACTTGCGCAGTTTGCAGCCCCAAGGGGCGCGAGGGCTCGTCTGGGTCTGCGTGGCACTCCATTGCGCTGAACATTCAAGAGCTCACGACAATGTGAAGGAGCCCAGGGACACGCAAATAAATAGACACAAATCCCAGAATCCCCCACATGTTCGATATGTGATCGAGGTTGGTTTTCTCCCCCCCCTTCGTCAGTTCTCCAAATATTTTCCTGGGCGTCGACGTTGGTTTGTGTCTGTGTCTATTCGTCCCTCCCGAGTCTCGTCTGGGTCTGCGGGGCACTCAATCGCGCTAACCTTGCAAGAGCTCACGAGAGTGATAGTGACGCAGGTGGCAGACGAAGGGGAGCAACGAGCTCTCTCGTCTGGGCCCCCAGACCCCCGACGTCGTGATCTTTTCGTGACGTGACCCTCAGGAGCCTGGACCCCTTCCCAAGGACCGGCGATTCATCCTGAATCGTCTTTTGATAGTTCCGAGGCCCGGCGAGGGCCCCCGAAGCCGAAAAGAGAGAAAAGCCTCCTGTCACGATTTCTTCACGACGCGAGGGGGTCTGGGTCTGCGTAACGCTCCACCCCGCTCGACCACAAGAAACCTTCCGAAAGAAGCCCAACCCTGGAACCCCAGGACGTGCCTTGATTGTTGGTGTGGGAAATGGGCACGCCGCGCTTCCCATAGCAAAACCATCGCACCCCAAGAAACCCATGGCATCCTGAGGGCAAACAGCAGGGTGTTTCTTGGCATGGGTCTCCACTGTAACGCTCCACCCCGCTGGGCCTCCCGGGACCACGCGAACGTGGCGACCGCTGCGCAGCCGGCAACCCGCAGGAAGCAGCGCGGCCTCCCAAGAGCCCACCGCGCCGCTGGGCCTCCCAAGAGCCCCCGAAAGTGGCGACGGTCACGCCATGTTGGCAGCCCCCCATTAGGAAAGGTGGGAGTCAGGAGGAGGAGGAGAAGGAGGAGGAGTCAGGAGGAGGAGGAGGAGGAGGAGGAGGAGGAGGAGGAGGAGGAGTCAGGAGGAGGAGGAGGAGTCAGGATGAGGAGGAGGAGGGAGAGGAGAACGCTTGGAGGAAGCCGTGCCCTCTTCACCACGAGGGCCCAACGGGAGGGAGCTTTGACAACGGCTGCATCCTCGTAGACTTCTGGACGTTCGCGCGCCTGTCTTGCATCGGCGCTGGCACCCCTCCCTGGCGCGCGGAACGCGCCAAGGGTGGCGCTCGAGGCTCGGGCACACGATCTGCGACGCGCCCTCCTCTCGGACAACCCCCTCCCAGACCTCTGACGTCGTGATCTGTTCACAACATGGACCCCCAGAGGTCTCGACTTAAGTCGGGCCTGTCCCCCTACGGGGGGAGTTTCGACGAAAAACAAAACATACCCCAAACATAATCAAACAATTCGCCGGCCCAACGGGCCAGGGCGTGCTAAGATCTCCGGTAACTGGTTAACAGTATTAACAGTATTTCTAGTTCGCGCGCGCGGGGCGGCCCCTGGGGGTCCCCCGGCGAAAAGTACCCCGACCAACGCCCGGTCGCCGCCGCCCGACCAAGTCTACTCAGAGATGGTTTTCCTTCTGGGTGCGGCCTCTCAGGCTCCCCAGAGCGCGCTCAGAGTGCCCCAAGAGGCCCCCAAGACTGCCCAAGAGGCCCCCGAGACGCCCAAAGAGCGCTCGAAGACGCCGAAGATGACCCCAAGACGGCCCAAAAGGCCCCCAAGACAGCCCAAGAGGCCTCCAAGACGCCCCAAGAGCCTTCCAAGAGGCCTCCGAAGAGAGCCCCAAGAGGCCAAAATCGTTGATTTTCATTGGTTTTTTCGATGTTTTTTGTGTTCTGGCTTTTTCGGCTTCCGGACGCTCCAAGACGGCCCAAGAGGCCCCCAAGACCGCTCCAAGACGGCCCACGAAGCTCCCAAGACGGCGCCGAAACGACCCAAGAGAGCCCTCAAGACGGCCCAAGTGCCGCCCAAGACGGACCAAGAGGCCCCAAGACGGGCCCAAGAGGGACTCAGGAGGGATACCGAGAACTCAAAAATGGAGCCCTCCGTCCCAGAAGGCGCCCAGGAGGTCCCAAAGAGGCCCCAAGAGGCCTCCAAGAGGCCCCAAGATGTCGCCAAGAGGCCCCAGGAGACTCCCAGGAGGCCCAAAAGAAGCCCCAGAAGGCTTCAAACATGTCTCCCAGGCGCCCCCGAACGGCCTCTCAACAGACCCCAAGAGGCCCCCCAAAGAAGCATCTTGACGACGACTCTATTTCGCCCCATCGAGAGACGACCCCCAGGGAACTGCTTCACCATCAAAACTCCCCACGCAACGCGTCCGAACGACACCCGCCCCCAAGAGCGCAACATGGGCAACGAACACACAGACAAAAACCAGCGATGCCATATCACGGGCCGGCGGAATGAGCGAAGCAATTCAATAATCCAACAATAGTCTGGGGACTATTTTGGGGGCCCCAGCGCAGATCAGAAAAGTTATAGCGCGGAGCTCCGACGGTCTGTGCTTTCGGGGGCGCCCAAGAAGCGGGAAGTGCGCGAGCCGTGGCCCGAGGCACGCGCGCGGCACAGGGGGCGCCCACGGACGTGTTGGAATAAGAAAGGGGGCCATGAGATCTGGGAGCTATCGTGGCCCCGGGTCCCCCTCTCAGGCATCATCCGAATCTTCGGCTCCTCCTCCCCCTCCCCCTCCACCTCCTCCTCCTCCTCGTACTCCCCCTCGTTCTCCCCCTCGTTCTCCCCCTCCCCCTCCCCCTCGTACTCCCCCTCGTTCTCCCCCTCCTCCTCCGCAGCAGCCATTTCGGCTCAAGCCATTGTGGCTCAAGCCCTTGTCGGGCCCTCGAGGGCGGCGCACGCGACAGGGGCGCAGCGGCCCCGAGCCCGCGGCGGCAGGAAGCTCGGAGTGCGGGCCAAAAGGCAGGACGTTGGCGACCTCCCCCGGGGAGGAGTCCGTGGGGCGCTTCGCGGAGGCGCTGGGTGAAGGCCAGCGGCGAAGAGGATCGACTCCTGTGGTTCTGGACATCACTGGCGGCGGTTCCTTCAACGCCGCCACAGGGGAGGAGGAGGAGGAGGAGGAGGAGGAGGAGGAGGAGGAGGAGGAGGAGGAGGAGGAGGAGGAGGAGGAGGAGGAGGAGGAGGGGAGGAGGGAGGGAGGAGAGGAGGAGGAGAGGAGGAGGAGGAGGAGGAGGAGGAGGAGGAGGAGGAGGAGGAGGAGGAGGAGGAGGAGAGGAGGGAGGAGGAGGAGGAGGAGGAGGAGGAGGTCAACACTGCTCGACGACGGCGAAGGCAGCGCCAGCTGCGAAGCGGGTGCCAGGGAAGGGGAGTTCAGGGGCATCGGCGGGGTCGGCGACGCCACTGTTTTCGGGCCCGTGGAAGCAAAGCGACACCGACGCATGTCGGCGAGGGCGAGATGATGGACTGGGTCCGCAAACCTTGGGTGCAACCGGCGGTGGTGCCGCACAACGTGAAGGACAAGAAGACCATCGAGGTGAAGGAGCACGTGAGTCCTCCCTCGGACTGGCTGGGAACAAAGCGGAAGCTCCTGGGCAACAAGATGGAGTACCCTGTGGCGGTGGTGCAGCTCAAACGGTGGAGAAGTACAACGAGAAGGCCATGCAAGCGGTACCGGAGACCCTACCGGGCACCAAGTGTCTAGAAAACTGCGTGCGTCAGCGTGGGGTGAAGATGCAGCACGCATTTGTTTCCAGCCGTAAGGGTCCTTACGGCCGGGAACATCCAGAAGAAGCGCGCGAGGGGCCCAGTGCGAGGTGAGCAGCAAGGATTCGGTACGCAAGTGCTGGGCGGACCTCAGCGACGGGGAAGATCACCGATGCGGTGGAGGCTCCGCCTGGGCAGCAGTTCACCGTGGTGGGCAAGAAGAAGGCGAAGAAGGATACAGTCGAAGCGTTGACCTTAGGGAACCCTAAATAAGGAACGAGGCCCCGTTTTCCATAAATTCAACCTCGATTTCCCATGGGAAACCTCAGGAAAAACCCGAGGCAAACTTTGAAACAATCAAGGAACACCGAGCCCCTCCCCAACGAAAAGGGTTCCTTCTGCAGCGCCCCGACTGTAACAAGAACAAGAGCAAAGCGGCGGGGCTGGATGAGAGCAGCCAGATCAGCCCTTCAGAGGGCGCCGACGACGGGGATGTTGACAAGGCGGTGGTAGAGAGCATCAAGTCGGCCTTCGTAAGGGGGCCTGCTGGGCGCGGGCGTCGATGCGGAGGCGCTGAAGAAGTTCGACTATCTCATGGGCTTGGTGGCCAAGCAGGCGCTGGCGGCGCCGAACGACAAGGAAGCTCGGGAGGAGCTGATCCGCGCGCGTGGGGCTGCTCAGGGGGGTGGTACCTCCCGAAAGCCCCCGCCAGGGACGGAACCCGACTCTGCCTAGCTGTGGCTCTGGCTGGCGCTGCAACTCCAGCAAGCGGGGTCGGGGGCCGTCTCTGGCGCGCGCACCTCTTCGCAGGTTGCCTCGTGGCAAGTCGGGGGGTACGCCCCCCTTTCGCTGGATGCGATACGCTGCTGCGTCAGCCCCCTGAGTCCCTCAGTCCCTCCTCCTCCTTCTCCTCCTACTCCTCCTCCTCCTCATCCTCCGCCTCCTCCTCCTCCTCCTCCTCCTCCTCCTCCTCCTCCTCCTCCTCCTCCTCCTCCTCCTCCTCCTCCTCCTCCTCCTCCTCCTCCTCCTCCTCCTCCTCCTCCTCCTCCTCCTCCTGTTCCTCCTCCCTCCTCCCTCCTCCCTCCTCCTCCTCCTGGTGGTCTCCCGGGCCACAGCTCGGGCCTCCTGCGGCCGCGCGGGGCGCTTCCTCGGCACCCCCTCGGAGGAGCCCTCGACGGTGCGCAGCTGCCGGAGAGCAGTCTCGGGCTGGACCGCTGCCAGACACCCAGGGAAAAAATGCTGAGAATCGGGTTGCCTTGACAGGGCCGTCAGGAAAATTAGGAGACTCAGTCTGCAAGTAGTCGCTGGTTGCCGCTACAAGCATCCCCAGAAACGTGGACCGTCAAAATCCAGGACGGGTTCGTCAAAAACCGCCAGCAAACCTGAATTCTGGCGAATTCGAATAATACGCTTCCAAGGCAAAGGTCGTTCAAGGGAAGGTTCGGTGGAAACTCATGGGGGCATCCCATGCCATCTCGCTGGCTCCTGCAACTCGACATTAACCAACGCTAGATCGGCGCCTCCTCATCGATTACGAAAAACTACCGCGCGCTGGCGCGCTCTAAACATGAATGTTCGAAGGCACGTAAGGCTCCCGTGATTTGATACCAACAAAACCCGAGACCTGGCGAACTCGAGTCTTACGCTTCCCCGACAAAGGTCACCCCAGGGAGGGGTCACTCCTGCGCGTACTGCAAGCTCTTGCCGTGACGGCCCTGACGTCGGTTTCGGACACCTTGGAAATCGCTTGGCTTTGAACGGTCGGCCGTGTCCGAAACGTCACACCGTTCAACATCGACCGACTCTGGGTCGCCGGCGGCGTTCAACGCTGAACGTTGGCGGCGGGGTCGCCGTCGTCGGGTCGGGCGAAAGGGGGGGATAGCAAAGGGGGGGTTTGAGAGTCAGCTCACGCAGCTGACTTTCCTGGCGCCTCCCAGCGCCGGAGGCGGCTATGTGTCGAGGAATGGGCCTCTCGGTGAAGCCGAAACCAGCTGCATGCAGCAAATTTCGAACCCCCCCCCTTTCCCAATCCCCCCGTTTCGTCCGGCCCGACGTCGGTCGGGCAGGTCGACGCGACGCAAACCTGCTGTGGCCGAGTGGAGGGCGCCGGGCCGACGCCGGGGGGCGCTCCTCTCGTCTTCGCCGGCGGCGGCCCCGACGCGCTGCAGGGCGATGAGGGCGCGCCTGGGCGGCGGAGGCGGCGGGGGCACCTCCATGCCTCCTCTTCCTCCTGCTCCTGCTCCTGCTCCTGCTCCTGCTCTTCCTTCTCCTCCTCCTCCTCCTCCTCCTCCTGCTCCTCCTCCTCAAGCCCTCTTCCCCCTCCTCCCCCTCCTCCTCCTCCTCCTCCTCCTCCTCCTCCTCCTCCTCCTCCTCCTCTTCCTCCTCCGCGAGCGGCTGCGGTCCTGGAGTCCTGATCCTCACGCACTAAGGAGACGTGGCCATTCTCAGAGGCTCCCCTGGGGCCCTGCTTTGAAGCCTGGGGGGAGCTGCTCTTTGGCCAACTTGTTCATCGCTGTCTGTCCCTCACTGCGACTATCGGGCGGGAGAACGCAGAATTGCTTGAACGTCCTGGAGGCCCGAACGTGCCGCTACCTACACCGCCAATACCAAAGTACCCCACGGCAAACGGAAAAATGTGGGCGGTGGTTGGTATGGACGTGCTTGCCTCCGTCCAGAGAAGACTATAACACCGCTTGCCTGTGAGATCGCCCGCCCTGCCCGCCCGACGGATGTTCGGAAATTCTTGGTTCTTGTTTATTGCTCCCAGTGAGCCTGCGGCCGATCCCCGAACCCTGAAGGACCCACAACGCCGCCAAAAATACGCCGATCCGGCGTGTGAGTTTCTGAGATCGTGGGCTTGAGCTCGCTCAAGCTTCGCTCTGCGGGGTGGGGGGACCTCATTTCCGACCTAATTCAGTGCTTCGCACCCCCCCCCTCCAGAGCGGACCCCCCCCCTGCAGAGCGCCCCCCCCCCCCCCGCTCCTGCAGCCCGCCCCCCCCCCCACCCCCCCTGCCGAAGGCGACCTCCCCCCCCTGCAGCCCCCCCCCCCCCTGCAGACGGACTACCCCCCACCTGCCCCTGCATCCCTCCCGTGCATAGCCGACCCCCCTGCAGGCGGACCTGCCACCTGCAGCCACCCCCCCCCCCCCCTGCAATAGCGACCCTTCCCCCCTCCCCCCCCCTTGCAGAGCGCCCCCCCCTCCTGCAGCCCAGCCCCCCCCCCCCCCCCTGCAGAGCGGACCCCGCCCCTGCAGCCCCCCCCCACTGCAGAGCGGACCCCCCCCCTGCACCACTCCCCCCTGCAGAGCACCCCCCCCTCCACTGCAGAGCGACCCCCCCCGCACCACGTTCCCTGCAGAGCACCCCCCCTTGCAGAGCGGACCTCCTCCCTGCAGCCCCCCCCCCCTGCAGAGCGGACCCCCCCTCCTCCCCTGCACCCCCCTCCTCTGCAGAACAGACCCCCCTCCTGCA